CTTTTTGAGCATCTCCTTTAGCACCACTGTCGAGCACTCTTCATTAGCACCACTGTCGAGCACTCTTCATTCAGCACCACCGATTTCGGTTCTCCCCACTTTCTTTTGTTAGAGAGGAGTTCTTTCATAAACTTTGCGTACCTCGGCATTTGTTGCAGTGCCTCCATGAATGGTACGTTTACTTGAACCTGTTTAAAGAGGTTCAAAAACTTGTTGAAGTCCTCAGTGTCACTCTTCCCCTTTAAGCATTGCGGGTATGGGAGGGGGGGATTGTAAGCTTTGACTGGAACAGGTTGCTTTGGGACTGTGTCCCCTCGTTCTTCTTTTCTTCTTCCTTATTTTTCTCAGGAACAACTGCAATTGGATCAACTTCTTCAACTTTCTTCTCTGTGGCAGCAGGCTCCAGATCCCATCCACTCCTCGGTGTGATTGCGTGAACTTGCTCGCTTGGATTTGGTTCGGTGTTATTCGGGAGGGATCCCTTAGGCCTCTCAGATACGGACTTCATGAGCTGTCCCAACTGAATTTGTATGTCCCAAATACTTGACTGTGTTTCTTGAATACTTGACTGCGTTGATTGATCTCTAGTCGGAGTCACTTGAATGAACTGCTCTAGTGTCTTCTCCAAGCTAGAAAGTTTATGCTGAGTCACATTCTCAAAATTCCTTTGGCCTTGCTGAGGTGCTTGTTGTGGGGCCTGAGATGCTTGAGGCTGATTATAGTTTCTATACTGATGCTGCTGCTGACTTCCTTGCCCGTAATTCTCTTGCTGTTGTTGGCTGTAGGGCTGGTTGTAATGGCCCTGCCTCTGAAAATACATTGCATCTACTTGCTCCATTCCAGGGGTTGCCGAGTGTGCCATCATATTACATTCATGTGGCCAATGGAGTCCCACACACATAGTACAAGAAGGACTCATAGGACCGGAGGCTACCATGTTTATACTGGGCACCGAGTGAGCAAGTTCCACTTTTTCCTTAGATCATCCATGCTTGCCAATGTATCTACCCGTGCAGAAAGGGCAGAATTATCACTGATCTCATACAAACCCGGGGCCTTCTGGTAAGGTGTACTCCTATCGCTGTACCAGGATGCGTTATTCGAAACAATTTCTCCACTAGTTCTTCCCCCACCTCGGATGGTAAATCAGGAAAGGCTCCACCACCCGAAGCATCGAGCATCATCTTCCCTTCATTGTTGAGCCCGCTATAAAAGTAGAAAAGAACTTCACAATCAGTCAAATTGCCCTGAGGGCAAGCTCTCCTCAGCACCTTAAATCTTTTCCATGCTTCAGCCAGTGTCTCTAGGGATCCCTGCTTGAACTCTTGTAGTTGCTTCTTCAACTTCAGGGCCTTTGACGTAGGGAAATATTCTTTAATGAAGGCACTACGCAGTTGTTCCCAAGTCTGGAGGTGATGGTGAGGATTGCTGTCCAATCACCTCTGCGCATCATCCCTCAATGAGAAAGGGAAAAGCATCATTCTTACCTGATCATCAGTTAACCCAGGTATCTTGAAAGTCTGGCACATCCTCACGAAGCGCGTAATATAAGCCACTGGGTCTTCTGTAGGACCTTCTCCAAATTGATTATTGGATACCATGCTGATCACCGCCGGCTTGATCTCGTAACGGTTGGCAGTAATTCCCGGCACTTGAATGCTATCATACTCTGAAACGTTTGGCGTGAGGAACTCTACAATGGTCTGGTGCTGATAGAGTGGATTATTGTGCGGTACATATGGATTTGGTGGAGGCGCCTGATGTCTAGGCTGGGGGGCTGGTTGTGGCTGAGTAGGTGGGACTTGGGTTTGGTTTTGAAACTGATTGGGGTACGGATTTTGGTACTAGGGCTGATTTTGGAATGTAGGTTGGTTGATTGGAAGTGGGTTCTGTCTCGATTGGAAAACGGGAATACTCTGCCCTGCTCCTTGCATCCCATAAACTTGGTTTTGAAAATTGGTTTCAGGAGCAGTAGGGGTATTTGGAAAAAGGTGATATAATGGAGGGAGATTAAATTGTGGTGAAGGCTGATTTTGAGAAAAGATCGGAGTGCGGTAATTTTGAAAACTTGGAGGGTTTCTAGGTGAAATTGGTGGTGAAGATTGGGGTGATGTGTTATGATAGAAATCTGGATGAGTAGTAGGGTTAGGATTACTAGATGACCCTATGTTTCCAGATGAAGATTGATGGTCCATGGTAATTTTCTCTTTGTGAGCCTTGCGGTTTTGTCTGGTGAGCTTTTCAATCTCAATATTAAGAGGGATTAACGGTTCTCCCCTCTTGGAGCATGTATGCATAAACAGATCTGACCTGCAAGGTTAGCAGACAAAAATCCTACGAAAAACTAAAAACGATTCGCTGAATAAAATTAACCCTTAAGACCGACACCGTCCCCGGCAATGGCGCCAAAAACTGATGTGAGTTTTCTCGCATTTAAAAAGATTATAGAATAGTGGTGAAAGTATGAGTATCGTCTCCACAGGGACGGACAAAAGGGAATTAAAGATTAACTAAATTCAGCGATTACAAAGAAATAAAATTAAATAAATATGTCGTGCGAGATTGATTGGATGAATTGAAACTAAACTAATGTGAATGAGCGAACAAAAGTAAATATTTGGGTTCTTCTTAATTAACGACGAATGGAATAGGGATTGATTCCGGGGTAATCAGATTTCTGGCATATCAGACTTAATTACATGAATTTAATTTAATTGAGCCTAGCTAATCAATACTAAGTTCTTACCGCTCTCGCGGCCTAGAGTACAATAATTTAGGGGACCAGGATGATCTCTCAAGCGACATGATCCTAAATTATTGCCAAGACGAACGAGCTTACGGCCTCTTAATCGCTACTAATCTCTTAGCGAACGATTAAGTGTGTGTGAATGTGTCCAAGAATAAACTAGATCTCTCTTAATTTATTCTATGTGCAATTGTAATTCTAGCCGCGGTTCCAGATTACAAAAGATAACAATTAAATTATTCAAACGCAAATTAAATGGTATTCATGTAATCGAACCATCAAGAAACTAGCCATACATCATGATAAACTCCTTCATCAACCCCAAATCCCTAATTAAAACTACTCGCAATTCATAATTGAAGAATCAACGGAATTGGGAAGAAAAGAATTAATTTTCATTAATCAAAAAGTATGAACTTACAAAGAATGTTAAGGAATTGAAAAACTTGGCTGAAAAGCTCTCTAATTTTCGTCCTTAATGAGCTCTCTAAAGTCCACCCCCCTTATTAGGGTTATAGGGGTGATATTTATAGGAAACAAGGCAATTTGGGCTGAATTAGGACAAAACGGGGTCAGGCACGGCGCCAGGCACGACCGTGCCTGCGACTGTGCCTACGGAAGCATTCCGTTTAAACGCGTGCCTAACTTCCAGGCACGACCGTGCCTGGCCACCAGTAGCTCATTCCTAACTTTGAGGGCACGACCGTGTCTAGTTAACTTCTGAATTGGGAAATGCTTCCTGCATGAAAGTTGTAGATAATGAAGTCCTCTATCCACCATAACTTGAGGAATTGTATTGGAATCAACTAATCAAGAGATATGATCAAAATGGTGGAAGGTCTCATTCTGAAATCGCAACACGGATCATCTGACTTCATCATCTGTTTTCATCTTCTTCCTCTCAGATTCTCGCAATGGTGTCTTCGTATGATTTGTATACCTTGAATTTGTCTTTCATATGGACTTTGAATCGTGTACATTGAATGTTTCTACAAAGAGATATGCTCGAACGATTGACAGAAGGTCATCCTGATCACCGATTTCAAGCTCCATTCATCTTATTTTGACCCCGTAGCCATTCCTAGAGCTCTCTTGTCGTCAAAACTTCATCGTGAACCTCCCGGTGACCTGCAAATCTCTCAATTCACTCCCGAATGCTTCTCAACTCATCCTGATATCTTCTCAAGCGCCGGTGCCGAACTCTAAATCCTTATTTTGACTCCAAATGACACAAAACTCGAAACAACGCCTGTTAAACATAACTTGAGCTAAAATTGAGACTTGTAACACCTTAAAGCTAGGAAAAAACATCAAAAGCCAATCTCAACACGCATCAAATGCGTGTCTAAATACGGACTTATCAATCATTAATTGTGAGAAACAAAAAAATGCTACAATATATATCTAGTGTAGCAGTTTTTCTTAAACAAGCAAAATGCTACAATTGATACGGTAGTGCAGCATTTTAGAAAATGCAACAAGTAAGTGCAGGGCCAAGTAAATTTTACGGAATATCATTTATACTAAATTTGCCCGCCAATCCATTTCTTTACCGCCAAAAACATAAGTCCCGCTATTCTCAAATCGGTGCCCTAGTTACATCTCTAGTATAATATCACTTTTCCATATGCTGCTTAGTTTGGTAGGAGCTTTCTTGTTCGGGCGGGCTGATACAAAGGTGATATCAAAGTTGACATGGGAAACAGGGAACCCGACTGATTCGCCGGCACATCTCCACAAAGGTCCGTTGGTTGCATCCCCTATTATTTCTCCTTGGAGCATTACGTTCCAACCATCACCAGGTAGGCTTCTAGCCTCATCTTGAACTTAATACCGATGCTATAGCTTTAAACCAAATTTGCAGTTGTTTTCTGAATTTATATGTATTTTAAATACATTTTAATCGTGTGTCTATCATAAAATTGCTATTTTAGATCTTCTCAAATAAATTTCAGTATTGCCTAATTAGGGATCTAATATTATAGGAATGGACACAATTAAACCTAGGTAAAGGTAGAATACATCTTTTCCCAAATATTATGAAAATGACATTATATTGTAAAGGAGGATGAAGGTTGTAAGTGTACATTCAGAAAATAGATAGAATCTTCTCAAACTATCACCATATTTTACTTAACATCATGCTAGTCTTTTGAGGTTATAGATATAGATAATTAATAAAATTGTTTAATTTCTCATCGATGCCAAGTGTCTTTTAATGTCCATTCATTAGGGTACGATCCCTTTATCAATCTTTCTTATGTAATCCATTGAATTCTAAATTGAAATCAGTTACTAGAATTAGCCACATGTATATCCTTTATATTGATCTTACTTTTCAGCCGACTTAGCTACAGGACTTCAATTCAAAATTTCCAAATTAAAAAAATAGAATCATCCAAGTCAAGAATTCATTGCTATCACTTCCGTAAAGTTTAATAGTTTAAAGCTGGTGAGGATAATTTGAAGAACCATGCTATTACTAATACTTACTAATGACAAGAGACTATCAATCTACCAAATTGTTCTCTTTTCCTGTCATGCACAACGGGATTTAGAGTAGACCTTCTAATTACTCTTTACACATTACTTTTTAAAAACTTAAATAGTTGTAAAATTTTGTTCAGTTTCAAGCCAAACCTAACTGAACTAGTTTCAAATTACTCTTATATTTTAATACGAACAGGCAAATAATAAATAAATGACAACTAGCTAATCAATTATAATCAAATGATAGCCCCAACATTTGAATAAATAGACACCAACAAATCTATGAAAGAATATAAAATCTAAAATAGAAATACAAAATGACTGACTATAATGAGTGGTGTGTTTTGTGTCCCCTATTATTTCCAGTTATGAGCAGTGGTGATAGAAGTTGGATGAAGTTGCCTAGAGTCCATCCTAAGTATAAGGATAGAGTCAATGAATTTTTTAATTTGGTATTTACAAAAGTGGCAGTTGGTGGTTGTATAAATTGTCCATGTAAAAAGTGTGCTTTCCGTCACGTGCATAAATGGCCAGATGTGTATAGTCTTTTAATCTGCCATGGTTTTGTTGAAGGGTACACTTTATGGAACTTTCACGGGGAAGGTTTGCTTTCAATGGAAACAGAAAAGGATTTAGAGAGTGAACATATTAATGATGAGGGGTCGAACGATATTAATGATATAGATATGTTATTGAATGACACTTTCGGGTATCTCGGGGAGGGAGAAGAACAAAATGTGGAAGCTATGAACTTTTTTAAGTTGATGGAAGAGGGTAAGCAAGAACTCTACCCCGGCTGCAAGAAGGTTTCAAAACTCTCTTTCACTCTTCGTTTGTTTCTTTTCAAATGTATAAATGGGTTGAGTCACTTTATCTTTTTGACTTTAATATGTCCGGGTCCCAATGATCCAGAAAAAAAGACAGACATTTATTTCAACCCCTTATCGAGGAGATGAAAGAACTTTGGGTCATTGGGACACCAACTTGATGTTTCAAGGGATCAAAATTTTATCATGAAAGCTGACATCATTTGGACCATTAGCGACTTCCCTGCCTATGACATGCTTTTAGGGTGGAGCACACATGGTCTTATGGGATGTCCGATATGCATGGAGAAATTAGGTGCCAATTGGCTAACTTTCAGTACAAAACCACGCTACTGTGATTGTCACCGCAAGTTTCTCTCGAAAAACCACCGATATCGAAAGGACAAAAAGTCTTTCATTAGAGGTAGAGTGGTACGAGACACCCCGCCCCGAGATTGACCGGGGAAGCAATTTTTAACCGGGTTCGACGTATTCCTACGGTTGTGCATGAACCAAATAAGAAGCCATATGGGTTTTGTGATACCCATAAGTGGACAAAGAGGAGTATATTGTGGGAGTTACCATATTGGAAAGACCTTCTCATTCGTCACAATATAGATGTCATGCACACTGAGAAGAACATGGTTGACAATATATTTAACACAGTGATGGATTTCAAAGGCAAAACTAAAGACGGTCTTGCATCTCAAAAAGATATGACTATTTGGTGTGACAGACCCGAACTTTCTGTTGATCTAGAATATAAGGGTAACAATATTCCAAAAGCAGTCTACAAAGTCACAGAAGCACAAAAAGAATCAATATTACAATGGCTTGTGTCTTTGAAGTTTCCAGATGGCTACTGCTCCAACTTGTCCAGATGCGTGGACATGGACAAACTTGCAACGACGTCGAGCATTAAAACTCACAATGCTCATGTAATAATGCAAAGACTTCTCCCAATTGCTCTGAAAGAGATGCTTCCTGAACACGTATGGTCCTGCATTACTGAGATCAGTTTGTTGTTTCAGTCGATATGCTCAAGCGTTTTGGATGCAGCATCCCTCCAGAGACTAGAAGAGTCTGTTCCCATGCTGATGTGTAATTTGGAAAAGATAATGCCTCCATCATTTTTCGATGGAATGGAACATCTTGTAATATTTCTTCCGTATGAGGCTTTGAATGGTGGGCCCGTCTTCTATCGCTGGATGTACAAATTTGAAAGGTTAGTCACAATTTCATTTATCTTTGAATATTTATTTTATAACAACATTAATCTGTGTACCACTTTTATTTTACATTGCAGATTTCTTGGAGAGTTGAAAAAGAAAGTGACCAACAAAGCACACGTTGAGGCTTCAATTTGTCAAGCGTATCTTCAACAAGAAATCTCAACGTTCTCATCTTTTTATTTTGAACGTGAAGTCATCACTAGAAGAAAGAGACCTGCTCGTAACGATGACATTGGCGAGGATTTATATGAAAATGTAGTTTTCATTTTCAATTACCCAAGTAGAGGTAAAGGAGATGCGACAAACCGATACATCGTGGGAAAAGAATTACAAATTGCGTATACTTATATGCTCATTAATTGTCCAAAAATCTTACCGTTGTATCAGTAAGTTAAATTTGTAGTTATATTCGTAATATATATACAATTAAGGTAGTTGATTATAATATTTTCATGTTTGACTTCACGGTGAATTTAGAGCGGAGTACTCAGCATTCCCTGACAATGAAATTGATGCAATGGTGGACTCTCATTTTATACCGTGGTACAAGTATCAGGTATATATACGTACACACACATTAATTATATATATTATTAAGTAATAATTTTTAATAATTACCCAATGTTATCGTGTTTTAATTTACAGATCAATAACCGTGGGATTGTGGACCCTTTGTTAGTATCATTATTGTGGGGCCCTGGTGCCTATGCCAAAGTTTGGCGGTCATATCTTATAAACGGTTACACCTATCACACAGTCGATTACGGACAGGGCCGACCAACACTGAACAGCGAGTTATGTGTCCCAACCATCGGTGATGATAACTCAGAAACCAATTTTTTTGGTGTCTTGCATGAGATTCTCGAATTGGAAATGCCTTCTACTCGGAAAAAGTTGACATGCGTTTTGTTCCGCTGCAAATGGGTCGATCCAACACGTGGTGTGAGAAAAAAATTCAATGTATAATATGATTGACGTCAACCACTCTCGCGTGTATACGAAAAATGAGCCTTTTATACTCGCTCAACAAGCAGACCAGGTTTATTATGCAGAATACCCTTCAACCAGGCGGACACAGAATCCTTGGGTGTGTGCATGTACTGTCCGCCCGAGCAAAATTGTATCACAAACTCAACACAAGGACGTTGATTTAGATGCTTTTCAGCAACATTTTTTCCAATCTCCGCCGATTGTTGAGACGGTCAACCATCACATTCAGTTAAGTGATCCAAATGGCGGAAGTGTTGAAGTCATGCCAGAAATGCACCTTCCGGACCTAACACCTCCATTTGAGCGCGAAATTGTTGAAATGCATGAAGAACAACAAAATGCTCAATATCAGGAAGAAGGAGAATGGATAGACGATTCTGATACAGAAGAAGATGTTGTATATGTAGAAAATAACGATTCTGATAGTGACTAATTGTGTTGTTGTAATTACATTTTTTTTGAGTTCGAATATTTGTGCTCTTTTCTTCATCATTATATTAGTTCAACAATATTTGATTTTTTTCTTCATCAATATTAAAAGATAAGTACGAAACACACAATTTTTTTATCACAATCAACTAACGAAACATTATTCATTTATCATAATAAGCAAACAAACAAATACAAAATTATTCATCAATATCAAAACTTTCAGGAGGCCTAGCCCACAACTCGTTAATTTTCCTTTCAGCTTCTTCGTTGATAAATGCTTCAATTGCAACAAGAACGGACACAAGTCCTCGGATTGCAAGGCACCAAGAAAGAAGAAAGACTCTCAAGTCAACTTGGTGCAAGGTGGACAAAAGGATGACGACATAATCCTAACGGTCGTGGTGACCGAGGTAAACCTCGTTGGATCCAATTCCAAGGAGTGGTTTGTGAACACCGGTGCTACCCGACATATTTGCTCAAACCGGGAGTTATTCACTACTTTTGAGCCATCAAATGGCGAGAAGGTGTGGATGGGAAACTCGGCTCATTCCGTAGTGGAAGACGTGGGCAAAGTGGTTTTGAAGATGACTTCGGGCAAGGAGCTGACTCTAAACCAAACACTACAAAAAAATCGCTTGTAGTCATGGACCGTAGTCACGGATTTGGTCCGTGACTAGTTAGTCACGGTTCTAGTCACGGGCTAGTCACGGATTGTTTAAAAAAAATAGTCACGGATACGTCTGTGACTACGGTTAGTCACGGATTATATCCGTGACTAACCTATTCCGGCCAACCCAATTTTGCCTCCGGCGTTTTTTTTTTTTAAATTTGAAATTAGTCACGGACGAATCTGTGACTAATTCCGTGACTAAACTTAGTCACGGATATGTCCGTGGCTAATTCCGTGACAAGATTTAAAATTAATTTTTTCAACGTTCCAAAGTTAAAGTGTACCGATAAATCGTACAAAATTACGTAGTCACGGACACATCCGGAAATATTGTTCGTTCCGGAAATACGCAAAAACCTGATTTCCGGTTCGTTGTTGAACAAACATGGCTTTCGCATGGTTTTTGAGTCGGACAAACTAGTTTTGTCTAAATCAGGAATGTACGTGGGCAAGGGGTATGCAGTTGATGGGCTGTTTAAGCTCAATGTAATGACTATTAATAATAATAATAATAATAATAATAAAATATCTTTTGCTTACTTGCTTGAGTCTTCGGATGTGTGGCATGGTAGACTAGGACAAGTTAATTTTACTTCTATACGTAGATTAATTAACATGGAACACATTCCTAAATTCACAATTGATGTGAAGCACAAATGTGAAGTTTGTGTAGAGGCAAAACTAACGAAAACGTCTTTCAAATTGGTTGAAAGAAAAACGGAACCACTTGAATTAATTCATAGTGACGTTTGTTATTTTAAATCAATACAAACACGTGGCGGTAATAAATATTTTATTTCTTTTATCGATGATAGCACTCGCTATAACTATGTTTATTTATTAAAAATAAACATGAAACAATCGATAAAATCATTCTTTATAAGAATGAAGTGGAAAATCAACTTAATCGACGGATTAAAACGATTAGAAGTGATCGAGGTGGTGAGTATGAAACACCAATTGGTGACTTTTGCGCGAGCATGGGTATAGTACATGAACGTACTGCACCCTATTCACCTCAATCAAACGGTGTTGCCGAACGAAAGAATCTCACGTTGAAAGATATGATGAATGTGATGCTAGTAAGTTCAGGCCTACCACAAATTATGTGGGGCGAAGAAGTCTTGTCAAGCAATTACCTTTTAAATAAGGTACCCCGGAAACAATATGATAAAACTCCCTACGAGTTGTGGAAAGGTAGAAGGCCTTCCTATCAATATTTGAAAGTGTTGGGGTGTCTTGCTAAGGTGCTTGTACCAACACCTAAGAAAATAAAAATAGGTCCAAAAACGGTGGATTGTATTTTTATTGGATATGCACAAAATAGTAGTGCTTATCGGTTTTTAGTGTACGATTCGAATAATCCGGATGTACATAAAAACACAATAATTGAATCAAGGAATGCATCATTCTTTGAAGACGTATTTCCATGCAAGTCCAACGAAGGACCAAGCACGTCAAAACGAACATTTGACGTAGCTAGGGAAAATACTAGCGAGGGGTACGGAGAAGAACCCAAACCCAGAGGTAGCAAACGTGCTAGAGTTGAAAAATCCTTCGGACTGGATTTTCTCACCTACTTGGTAGAATTTGACTCGGATATTCTAACATGTATGGTAGAAAATGAACCGGATTTTCTAACATGTTTGGTAGAAAATGAACCACAAACTTATACGGAAGCCGTGACGTCTACCAAAGGTCCTATGTGGAAAGAACCCATCAAAAGTGAGGTAGATTCTATCCTTAAAAATCACACATGGGAATTGGTTTATCTTCCTCCGGGAAATAAACCTTTGGGATCCAAGTGTATTTTTAAACGGAAAATGAAACTTGACGGTTCCATCGATAAGTACAAGGCCAGACTTGTAATCAAGGGATACAAGCAACGTGAGGGCCATGATTACTTTGACACGTATTCTCCTGTGACGAGAATAAATTCCATTAGGATGATACTAGCAATTGCCGCATTGCGGAAATTGGAAGTTCATCAAATGGACGTAAAAACCGCTTTTCTAAATGGCGATATAGACGAAGAAATCTATATGAAACAGCCCGAAGGCTTTCGTGTTCCTTGCCAAGAAAGGAAAGTGTGTATATTAATTAAATCATTGTATGGATTGAAACAAGCCCCTAAATAGTTGCACGAAAAGTTCGATCATGCAATGTTAATTAATGAGTTTAAAATAAACGAAAGTGACAAATGCGTCTATGTGAAGAGCACGGTAGATGACTATGTCATTTTATGTTTATACGTGGATGATATACTCATCGTGGGTAGCAATAATCTAATGATTAATTCTACCAAAAGCATGTTAAATTCTAAATTTGACATGAAAGATATGGGGCTGGCCGATTTAATCCTTGGGATTAAAATAACTAGAGGACATGACGGTCTTACGCTAAGCCAATCCCATTACGTTGATAAAATCCTTACGAAATTTAATAAGGATGATTATCAAGAGGCAAGGACTCAATTAGATAAAAATGTACAACTTACCAAAAATCGTGGAGAGTGTATTTCTCAAGTAGAATACGCTAGGATTATTGGAAGCTTGATGTATCTAATGAGTTGTACCAGGCCTGATATTGCCTTTGTGGTTAGTAAGCTCAGTAGATATACTAGCAACCCCAGTGATGAACACTGGAAGGCAATAGTAAGGGTTTTGTGGTACTTAAGTAAACCCAAAACATGGGACTGCACTATGGAAGATATCCAGCTGTACTTGAAGGGTATAGCGATGCTAGTTGGATATCCGACATTAAGGACTCAAAGTCCACAAGTGGATATGTTTTCACTTTGGGAGGTGCAGCCGAGTCATGGAAATCCTCAAAACAAACGTTAATAGCTAGATCCGCGATGGAGTCTTAGCTAATAGCATTGGATAAGTGCACTGAAAAGGCTGAATGGCTACGCTATTTTCTCGAGGATTTTCCAAGTTGGGAAAAGTCTGTCCCTCCCATATGCATACATTGCGATTGTCAAGGGGCAATTGGAAGGGTACAGAGCAATATATACAATGGTAAGTCTAGACACGTTCGTCGTAGACATAGTGGATCCGCTAAAGGATAACTCCTCACAATGGGTGTTATCATCATTAAACAACTCCTCATAACGGATCCGCTAATCAAGGCATTGGATAGAGAATTGTTGGAGAAGTTGTCACGAGGAATGGGACTAAAGCCCGTAAAATGAAAAGTTCTATAGCGGATACCCAACCTAGTTGATCCTAGGTTCAAAAGGGACAACTAAATTATAGAGCGAAGGATTGTCACTGTGGGGGTCCCGAACTCCTACCCACTCCTCATTAAAACAGTGACTCCCGCATGAGGTTAGCAAAAACGTTTGCTTTAATATTCTAAAATGTTGATCTACTCGATAACATTGGAAGAGTATGCAGGATACTCATGAAAGAATCACCTATGTGAGAGAGAAGAGGGCCGCTTCAAAGGAGAACTGTAAAGGCTCAGTTCTTTAAAAACTCTTGCAGAACCAGGACGTTGACCCATGGCCAAAACGGTCACACCCATGAGAACGGAACAAAGTTGGAAGGTTCTTGTGTAAAGATAAGTCAATGTTTACACGACGGCAGTAAAGTTCAAGGACATCAAGTCTACTAGACAACCTGTAAATAAACGTGTCTTTAAAGCGGAAGGTTCAAAGGATAAAACCTACCTCTCCGTATGCAAGGATCATCCGGTGAAAACAACGTGTCCTCCTATCTTCATGTCTTTTTAAGCCTCGAAAATCAATTTTCATTCATGTGGGGGATTGTTGAAAAAATGTGTTAAAAATTGCATTAAATGGTCATTTTGGGGCAATTGTTTGAGTGGATTCCACTTCCGATTTGGGTCGGGTCAAAGTCGTTTCGGATTGTCCTTGTTAAAGGCTACAATTCGATATATGGTACGCTCAAAACGGATAACGGGTGAATGAGAAATTGATTCTCGAAGTTCACTCGTTGAAATGGAAAAACTGGGACAATGATGAGTTTCTAATGTGTTTTCTACCACACCAGAAAACTCAAGAGATTTTCATCCCCTTATAAAGGGAAGACTCTTTCAAGGAGTTAAGATTCCTTAAGGTAAAGGCTCTCTCTTACGCGCAGGGGGGTGCCGATCAAATCCCGAGATGGAGAAGAAAAAATGTGACTCGTGTGCGCGGGCGACCTGCGGACCAGAAGATCACTTCCCTTCCTTTATTTTTTCCAGAACTGCTCCGCATCAGAGACACTCTAGGTCTTCTGTTCATAATAGAGACGCTTGAGGTCTTCTGTTCGCAACAGAGACGCTTGAGGTCTTCTGTTCGCAACAGAGATGCTCGAG